ATATAAATTACATCTATGCACACATGTATTTTTATGAGTGTTTGTGCATTAATCAAATTTTTTTTCTTAATTTTCTTGTAGATTTCAAAGAATATGTGGAAAATATTGAAGAGGTGAAAAGTGATACATTGAAGAAAATATGAAAATCTTGACACGAAGACATGAAAACGCTTTGAAATGTTGTAGCATTTTTGTTTTTTATTTTTTATTTTGTATCGAATAAAATACATGTACTTTTATGTGTATAGATTATATAAAAATAGTTTTTTATTTATTATTTACATACGAATATTATAGTATAAGAAGTATGCATATATGTACTTGAAAAAATATGCATATATGCATTTAAAATATTGATTTTTTTGGTTAAAAATTACAGTTTTCGTTTTTAAATATTCCGGTTTTTTTACTGACTATTATAAATTTAATGTTTTTAAAAAAATTGCAGGAACTTTTAAAAAAATATATTTTTTTTCAATTTAAAAAAAATCATGTTTTCTAAAAAAATTAAAAAAATCTGCAATTTTTAAAAAATCAAAAATTATTATTAAAAAATCTGAAAATTTTATTTATTATGTTAATTTTTAGACATATTCATGAATATTTCCAATAATACAAAAATTAAACAATAAATAAGATTGGTAACATGACAATTGTGCCCTTAATTAGTTAATTTTGATTTAACGCTCCATATTTAGTTCTCGGTTTATCGGAAAATTATGACTTATATATATATATATATATATATATATATATATATATATATATATATATATATATATATATATATATATATATAATCATATGAACGGTTTCAGGTAACGGGTTTCAGTTTCGGTTTTGGTTTCCAGTAATCGGGACGGGTATTTTGTTTACCATCCCCATAACTAAACCCGCGGAAATTTTCTAAAAGCATACCAATCCCGATCCCGGCCCCGATTAACTGACCCCTAACCCGACCCTAATATGTCGGTTTTCAGTTTTCACCATCGTGTTCGGTTTCTTTTGCCATCCCTACTTAGAGCCTCCAAACTTGTTGAGCCGTCCATGGTAATGATTAACATAGTTTAAGGAAACATGTTTTGTTGGAAAACACATGTGTATTCTATCTCATTTTCGCCGGTACGTTGGAGACTTTTACGTCAAAAATAAATGATTGATCGAGAATCATTCCCCCATTCTCAATATTTTTTATTTTATCAATTGAACTTATTTATCTATATATACTAGCCGTTTACCCGCGCCAAGCGACAGGTATAGATAGTTTTTCATAAATTAGTTTTTAGAGGGGAAGTTATTTTCTATGGGATAGTTTTCATGCATAGATAAGCCTCATTGAAGTATTGTTTATAGATACGTCTTTGTTCACAATGAGGGCGTAAGATATAAACTTGTCCATGTGATATCCTTATAGGCAATGACATCGAAAGTTTCCATGTAAAACATTATCAATCTAATAAGGATATTAAAATTTAGGAACCAATCCAATTACAATGGTATATTTGATGCTTAACATAAATTTTAATTAGATTTATATGTTTTAATAGAGACACCTAATTAACTTTATTGTTTGAAGACTCCGTCATTAACTTTTATGTAAATGACGATATAATGGATTAACTTTGTTTTGAAAATATGATAAGGTTAAGGATTAATTTGAAAAGTTCAACAAATTTATCTAAAAAAACATGTATAACGACCGTCCAAATATATATTTGTTTAATACATGCATCATTTGATATTTGTTTTTTAAATAAGACTATTAATGTAATAATAAAAAAATTGTGACATTAGACAAGCAAATTATTTTAAACAAAACCATAAAAAATTTGATACGATTATTTCTAATTAATATAATCCAACTATGTCCAAAACATGCCTATATTCACCCATTTATAACCTATCAGTTTTAACTTTTATGTAAATAAGGGTAATATGTAATTACAAATCAGACACATAAATAAATCACAAAACTTAATGTCTTGAAAACTAAAAAATACAACCATAAAACAAATTTGAGAAAAGAAAAAGGACACTTAGGGCTGTAAACGAACCAAACGAACACGAACAAGGTCGTGTTCATGTTCGTTCGTTTAAGTTAGCCGAACAACAAACAAACATGAACGGATAAACGAACGAGATTTTCTTGTTCATGTTCGTTCGTTTAACAAAGTACTTTGTTCATGTTCGTTCATTTATGTTCGTGAACATGCTAAACGAACATAAACGAACAAAGATAAAAAAAAAAAAAAAAAAAAAAAAAAAAAAAAAAAAGACACAATTAAACATATATGAACATAAACGAACATATAATATAGCAATATAATAAAAAACAATTGAATATAGATGAATATAAATAAACTTAAATGAATGAACATAAACGAACGTAAATGAACATCATAAACGAACGTTCACGAACATAAATGAACAAACGAGACCATTGGTCATGTTTGTTCATTTAACTAAACGAATGATAATTTTTGTTCATGTTCGTTCATTTATTAAATACACGAACATAAACGAACTTCCCGCCGAACAGTTCACGAACGGTTCGCCGAACGTTCAGTTCGTTTACAGCCCTAAGGACACTTATTGCATAACATAAACTCTAATTTGGCTAATGCCTTTTTTTTCCTGCAACTCTAAGGTTACTTTTGACCAACCAATGTAGATAACCACCTATGATTTCGTAATAGATATAACATTGTTTTGTTTTCATTCAGCCCAAATTTAATTTAAAGTTGAATGCAAGATATAACAATACACTTGCATGCAATTGTGTATTACAACGTCCTACTTCTATTTATTTATGAGTTGTTAGTGTCTAACTTTATAACCCCATGTGGAGCCTCCTAGTCTTCAACATCTATAACCCTATGAGATTCAATTCAACATCCTTTGTATTTCCTTAATTACTTCATATCAATGAATCTGGAAAAAAGGGGCATCTGACCCAGCAGGAACCTGAACAATATGATTGTTGTTTATAACTGTGAATTCATGTGCAAGAATACTCTGACCACCCATTTATAAACCTGAGTTAGCAAAGAATTAATTTTTGCATCCATAGTTCATGACAGGAAAATTAATCTTATAAATTAGTAAGTATCCATAGTTCATGAGAGATTCCTTTCACCATTCACATGATTTTTTTACTTCTAGTTATAAGTGATCCTTTGACCTAATCATGAACTTCATATTATTTTTGGTCTATTTTCAGCAACCAAATGGCTCTATCCAACAACATTAGTATTTGTGTTCTTTGCAAAGTATATACTGACATTGATACACAACATTATGGAGTTGTTCATAAAAAAATAACCCAATTACCTTGTTTGTATGTTTTTTTTCTTATAATAGTCTTCATCGAATGTTTCTGGTATCATTTTTTCATCAAGATTGCTCCTAGCCCCACCCCACCCCCACCGCTTCCTATCTGTCATGTTATAAAAAAAAGTTAAAAAGTAGCAAACGAACCAAAACTGTAGAAGAATCAAAGTTGAAAAAGGAATATGACAGGGGAAAATGCAACGTATATTCTAAAAGCATATCTTCTTTCCTTTTTGTGTATGGCTATCTCAAACCAATATTCTAGCATATAAGAGAGTACAACACTATCAAGCATGGATCTTTTAACTTTAAGGCATTAAAAGAAATGCTAAAAAAACATATGCACACAACAGAATTTAATAAAGTAAGACTTGGAAATCATAAATCAGAAACACAATATAACTTACTCAATTTTGTACTAAAGTATTATCATCATAAATGATACCAAAAAAATCAAAACGATGAAGAAAACATAGATAAAGTTTGACATTAAAAACATACATCGGTTTAGGGCTAGAAAATAACTTACTTAGTCTTGGGGATGCCTTCTAGTCAAAACCCATATGATGTTTACCTTCAAAATGTGTTGAAACCATAAGAAATTACATATGATTTCCTATACAAATTAGATATATCGAATAAACAATATTTTTATATAATAAACAACCCAAATTTGAGAAAAACATGCATACAAAAAAAAGAGTAAATTACTGAAATCGTCCCTGTGGTTTGGTTAAAATTGCACGTTTGGTCCCTAACTTTTTTTTTGCACTCGGATCGTCCCTGTGGTTTGCTTTTGTTGCGTTTTTCGTCCCTATGGTTTGGTAAAAGTTGCATGTTTGGTCCCTAACTTTATGTATGTAAGGGACGAAAAATGCAAAAAAATCAAACCATAGGGACGAAAAACGCAACAAAATCAAACCACATGGACGATCCGAGTGAAAAAAAAAAGTTAGGGACCAAACATGCAATTTTGACCAAACCATAGGGACGATTTCAGTAATTTACTCAAAAAAATAAATAAATAACAAAAATTCAGTGACTCGGTTAAAAAAAAGAGTCAAGAAACACATTATATACCCGAAATTGCTATGAAGAAGCATAAAGTCCATTTCCACTGTATTTCCTACAATAAATACATCAATCGAAGTAAACATATGCAGAAAATATATATTTTCTTGCTACATGGATAATGGTGTGTGGTGGTGAAGGTAACCAGTTAGGAAGAGATAAGGAGAATAGAGGAGGTGGTGGTTATGTTAGCTACTGAAGGAGATGGATTATAAGTTGAGGCAAAGATATAACATTACTTCCAACTACACTAACACCTGTTATAGGAACACATGCAATAATCAATAAAATTAGGTACTGGAAATGCCCATTTCATTATGTTTCTTATACAATTATGTTTTAAAATGTTGTAAATAGTATAAAGTAAAGTAAGATGCAATAATAATAAAAAAAACGGAGCTAAATTACTATCAATGGTAAATTATTAGTATACTTTACAATTCTAATCACATAGATTTAAAAAAGAGAGTAAATTACATGAGATTAGAGCTTCTGCCCATCAAAAGTTTCTATTAAATCTTCTATCGAAACTACTTGATGCTGCCAAAAATAACCTTTTCATTAAATGAAAAAATTGTGAACTTTAATACAGTCAAGAACTAAACATAACTTTCCTGTAGGACCAAGTATACACGCTCTCCTTGATTTTGTGGGACGAATAAGGGTAGATTAACTGCAAATATAAACACAAGGATTGTTAACGAATGATAACAAAATCATTGGACATAGATCAATATGAACACTAATTTTGGTTTTTGTTTTTTTTTTTCACCTGTTTCGGTTTTAACCCACTTGGTTCTGCTGAATATTCTTATCTTGGTTGAAAATAGATGTAAACCATCACCAAGACCAACATATGCCAATGGGTAGCTGTGTCAACCACAAAGTTTGGCTTTTTTATGGTTTTTCCAACATTGTGCCTTCCATTGTCAAAAACGTATGTAAATCGTAGAATCATCAAGATCGCAGAAAGGATAGACCAAAATGGCGAAATCATGAAAGACAGAGAGAAAGAGATGAGCAATGATGGAAATTCATAAAAGCAATATTTGAAAAAAAAACAATCAAAACTAAGAGCGATAAAGGAGATAAAAAGCTATAAATATTAACCACACACCATTAAATAGGGAGTTAGATGATTATACCAAATTAGAAAAACAAAACCCTAAATCGAGGTGGTGCAATGTTATTCAAGAGAGATAGAAAGATATATATATATATATATATATATATATATATATATATATATATATATAAAAGAAAAAAAAAGAGTGTTTTGGTTCGTTGCTTGCCGAGGATAGCGAGATGGTGGTAGTGGTAGTAGCCGATGATGGTGGTGTAGGTGATAGTCGATGGCGGCGTTTCATTTGTCGAATGAAAGAGAGAGATGATCAGAACCATTGAAATAGAGAATTATAGTGGAGGTGGGGGACGGTTATATAAATGGTGAAGATTAACTGAGCTATAGTATTATATGGCGGAAGAAAGTGCGACATAGGAGGAAGCATGTTGGATAGGATTAGTGATGGGGGTGATGGCTATTTGAATTAGTCTTCATATTGAATGAGTTTTCGATAATGGTGGAATGGGTTAACATATAAGCAGATATCCGAGGCTATGTTGTTGGATGGGATAGGGGTGGGATTGGGTCAAACAAAGGAGTGTTATTTTTCTTTGACTTTTTCAACCCTAGACCAAAATAAGATTCAGCATTTTCAATGCATAAAGTTATTGTACATATTGCATAAGAGCTTATACCTCTTAAAATTCAGCATTTAGGGCTAAATGCTTATTAAAGTATAAAGATATATATATATATATATATATATATATATATATATATATATACACACACACACACACACACACATACACACACACACACACACACATATATATATATATAAGGGCACAATCGTCATGTTACCAATCTTATTTTCTATCTAGTAGAGTTGCATGTGTGTATTTTAGTTTATCATCTTTCGAAATTGTGAAATTGTTTTTCTCCAGAAAATCATATATTTCTTGTATATATTTGTAAGGTTTTCCTTACATAAATTTCTAAATACATTATTATATTCTAGTGAGCCGTTATAACCATACTAATATGACAGAGACCTGTCTTGGCGCTTCTCAGGTGCCCAAATCGATTAAAGACATTTGTCACCCTAGACTGGCCGGTCTAGCTGTAGCGAACAACGAAGGTGCGGGGTGTCAACCCCGTATAGATCTATACAAAAATTCTTGCTCTCCCTCCAGGAGACTCTGGTTACAACTCTTTACAGGATTTTAAACGTACACTAATATATTTATATATTTAGGTACTTTGGAGATGCATCTAACTAGAATACTAACAGATATGTGTGCTAACCGATGAAATCAGTTATTTAATAAATAAGAATAATTACGCTCATTGGCTAGGTATATCACTTTGTTTTGATTATTGAAAAATAATCTACATTGAATCATATTTATCAAAACTGATCTAATAATATCGATTTTGGCAAAAATGACCCTTCTTTTTATAAATCGTCAAATAAGACCCATATTTGTCAAAAGGTGTCATATTTGGTTCAAAACTAGATGAATTATTGAAAATGGCCAATTTCTTCTAAAATATTCGTTTTAGACTTATATTTATGAAAATATTCAAAAAGGCCCTTATTTATTCAAAACTTTCATTTTTGGTTCTTTAAAAATTGAGATGTTCAATAATTCTTCAATTTTATTCCATTTTCCAAAATGGTCCTTATATATATATATATATATATATATATATATATATATATATATATATAGAGAGAGAGAGAGAGAGAGAAAGAGTTAGGTTCATGTGTAACCTATAAATATTGTGTGAATGTATGACTAGATGTGGACCAATTATTTGATAATAACATGATAGTAATTTAGTTAATTAAAAAAATTATTATAAAAATTAATTACTCTAATTTTGGAAACTTAATCAATAGATTATAAACAAAATCCATAATTATTGGATTAACCCTTATTAATCTCCATACCATGACCGATGATTAGCATACCTCTCTTTATCGCTAACCCTACAATTCGATTCCCATGCCCCCTCGTTACCATAATTTCATTGTGGTTGTGGCGAAGACCAAGATTCTTTGACTCTTTGACCAAGAAATTTTGTTCAGCCAAGCAGTGACGTAAAGACGATGTGGGCAACATTATCTCCGAGAGTTTCTTGCATTTTCAAGGATGTCTTTACAACTCTGTAAGTTTCTTAAATATTGTTTCACTTTTTGGATTGTTATTGATTCATAAATTTACTTTTTGGCAATTTAATATTGTTATATTAGAATCACAAATCCAGTTTATAGTAAATTTAACTTTTGACAATGGATTCTTGATTTCATTGTTCAACTATGGAGATAACGCGTATACGAGACTATTATGAACAATAGTCTAAAATTTTAGTTTTTATTATTATTTTCATGTCATGACAATTAAAATTTCAAATCTGTTTTGCAGTTGTTTGAAGTTGAACCACCTGACCTACAATTCAATAATCTTAAGGAATGACTGTTATTGATATTATTTAAGAAAGCATTCTATGAGATTCTATAAGAAGGCATATTCTTTGTGATGTTTCTATATTTTTTAGAGTCATGCTTAAGCTATATATATAAAGAAAGAGATCAACAAAAGTTGCAATTTTGTTCTTCATTTTTAGTGTTCCTATATTCTTTCGCATGTTATAAAGAAGTCTCATTCTAAAAGAATGTACATTATTTCAGCATGTATTTGTAATGTTTTAGAATGCATCAACAAATTATATTAGGTTTTGTATTAATTTTTGCATAATTATCAGGAGAATGTGTCAATTTTGCAATTAGAATAACTATTATTTTGATGCAAATTCTTATTATTTAGAAAATATGCAATCCTATTCTTTAAAATTGCTTAAGTCGTATGAAATATTTTTAATGATTTTGTATTCTTTAAGAATGGTTAATTCTAAAAGAATGCAGACACAATAATAAAAAAAGATTAACCAAAATAATGAAGGTATTCTTAAAGAATGTTCAATATTCAAAATTTAGTATACAAGATTCTTAAAGAATGCATGAACAATAATCAACATTAAAAAATCTTCAAACAACTTTACTAATCATATAATATTCTTATCTTCTATAAATATTTATTAACCAATTTGACTAATTTACTCCTACAATTAATTAAGTTAATTAAGTGTAATTATCTATTAATGATATCCCATGTTAATAACATGTACCCTGCTATCAAAACCCTTAATTTTTTTTCAATCAAACGGACAAAAAATGGTCATACATTCATACAATATTTGTTGTTCACGTTTGATCCTAACCATATATATATATATATATATATATATATATATATATATATATATATATATATATATATGGGGCCGAAAATGGTCCCCAAAATATCATTAATACTCCAATTTAACCATTTCCAAAATATTATGTTTAACAATTTGTTGAAACAATTTTTGAAGCAAAACCTTATGATTCTTGATATATAAATTTATGATTTATATTTCATAAACATATTAGTTTTTGTTTCTAACATCCACTTTGTGATATATAGTTCAAAACCTTAAGACTTGCCAAAAATCTCGAGTTCTTGAACCAATATATATAGGGTTCATAACTTTAAGAACATAAATCATAACATACATGCAGAAACAAGCAATTATACTAAATTTTCAAAAGACCCTTGACTTGTATTCTCCCTAAAAAACAATGAAAACTCAAAAGACATGGGTATGAAGTTCACCTTGTATAAAAGGTAGTGTAGCTGAAGGGATGAGATGAGGAGTTATAGCCTAGAACACTTGAAGTGTGGGATGAACCTCTTGAGAATTTTAGCTAGTATAAGATTATGAACACATAAATCTATGTGTGAGTTGGAGTTTAAATTAACTAATTGTATGAAAAATTTACTAGGCATGAAACACTTACAAGAACTCGAAGGATTGATGAAGAATATGTTGGATTAGTGTCTAAGCCCGTAACCATATTTGTCATGTACTTGACTCGATTGTGCATGGTCCTTTTGGGTTGCCTTCACCAAAGCAACTTGACTGGAGAAATAATAGAGAAAGAGGTTATTATGATTTATTAATATGTTATATGAATAATATATTAAAGGAGAAATCATAATTATTTAATTAATATTGGTCAATAATTAATTAGGAATTAATTCTGTGATCAAGTGTAATTAATTAAACTAGAGGGGCTGAATTGTAATTATGTGATAGTTACAAAATATGGTAATGGTTATCCTAGATATAGGTTGGACGAATTCAAGGGATAAGATATCCTTGAAATTGTCCAAAGGATAAGGATAAGGGTTTTCAAGGCTTATCTTATGGTTAATTGGTGGGCAAGCAACTAAATAAGGATGAAAACCTAATCTCTACACCTATATAAAGACCCCTAAGGCCATAAGAATTCATCCATGCCTTGTCTAGGGTTCCTAGGGACGAATTTCACACCTCTTCCTTCTCTCTATTACCTCTCCATTTGCTCTTGGTGTTTGTGAGCCATTAGAGGTATTACACTTGTGGTACTTGCTTTCAAAGACAAGAAGGTTCTAGATTTAAGTTGTTATTACAATATAACAACAAGAGGTATGTATTTCATCTTTCCTTAAGGATTTCGAAATTCCTATAAGCCTTTTAGGGTTCTTCAAGTGTTCATAATGTTGTATAACTAATAGTGATAACATAGATCCAACTCTAGGGTTGCATGCACACATAAGATTGTTTGTACAAAAACCCATCAGTGGTATCAAAGCCTTAGGTTAAATTGTATTCAATTAGTATTATAAAATTGTATGAACTTGACATATTAGGGTTTATAGCCAATAAACCCTAGGAGGCTAGAAATGTCGAGATTAGGGTTTCTATACCCTAATTTGCGAAAATTTGAAAGGGTTTTAAAATCCTTTCCTTAAGCCTCAAGATTTCGAAATCTAGGGTTTGCAAAACCCTATGATTTTTGAAATTAGCCTCCTCCCCATGATAAGATCGTAAATTTTAGGGATTTGGATTATCCTATATCTTGTAATTATCCTTTAATGGTTATATATGGTAATTAAAGATTTTGAATTATCCTATCCCATGATTTTTGAATCATAAGGGATTATTTAAATCATGAAGGATAATTACCAATTAAACAATTAATTTATCCTAATCCTTTTAATTATCTTGAATTAAAATATTAATTTAAATTATCAAATCAAGAGTTTTAATATTTAAAATTTTAATTTAAATAGTATTAAATTTCGAAAATTTTAAAGTGAGATTCAAACCTAATTGTTTTGAAAAGTTTCAAAACCTACCCTCAAGTTTTGGAATTTAAAAGTTGATTAAAAGTTTAATTTAGGAATGTTAAATTCTAAAACCCTAGTATTGTTCTGAAAAGTTCAAATCACACCCTTATGGTTTTATTAATTAATTAAGGTGTATAATTAAAAGAAGTTTAATAAATCCATAAAAGTTTTGGTTTACAATTAAAAGTATAATTGTTATATTTGACCACCTAACATTTTAAAAGTGTAAAATACACCCTATACTATATATAACATTAAAAGTCTAACATTGTATATATTTGTATGAGTAAAAGTCAATCTTACCGTTAGTAGGCCGCATTCACGAATCTGGTCTATAAGGGGTGTTTAAGGAATTTGCCTATAAAATGGCGATTGAATGGGTATCCACTCTTACCCACCGCACTCTTGACTAGTGGAGGGCCGTTAGCCGAACGGGTAGGATAGGAAAAAAACTTTCCATTATAAGTATAATGAAGTACAAAAGTAACTAAATGTTTTACAAATTCCCAATCTTGGTTACTTAGGCAAAAGTGAATTATTGCAATTCCATGAAATTACACTTTGTGCCCTTACGAAGACGTTAGTGGAGCGTGTGTGGTTTACCGGCACACTAAATGGTTCTAAGAAAAGGTAGCAAAGGGTGACTCAATGTTTGTCATAGTTCGGTGGAGCGTGTGTGGTTTACCGGCACATCGAATAGGTGACTGTAACATGTGAGGGCACCGTGTAAGTTTGCATGGTTATTCACACCCGCTTTGTGATCCTCGGCATCCCAGTCACAAACAAGAGGGGCATATCAAGATTTAAACATGCCATTGAAAGTTCAATGAATCTCAAAGGATTTAGGAGTTTTCATAGATTTAAAACTTAAATTTCTTTTTCATTTTTCGTGGTGGAAATTAGTGAATCGTCATTCACTTACCTTCAAATATTCTGCAATTAGGGTTACGACATCCCTCTCCCGAGTTGTGGAATATTGTGTTGGGTCCTAGCCTTCGTATTTCATTTGGGTGATTTACTAAGGACTCAATCAATCGACCAACTTGAATTTGTTTCTCCCGTTTTGTAGATGTCAAAGTTCGACAACTATGGTCTTCCCAAATCCCGTGGAACAAGCATTCCACATGAAGATGGTATTCCACGATTCGATCGAGGAACAAGAAATCATGCTTCACTTCCTCCACCTCCTCCAATTGTTCTCCTTAACCCACAAGATCGAAGAATTGAAAGGTTCAAAATCACTAAGGCCCTATTGGAAATGAAACATGAAGATGGTAAATCCGTGTGTGCCCACATTCTAGGAATGAAATCACACATCGATAGGTTGATTATGTTAGGTGTGTCATTTCCCGATGAGTTGGCTGCGAACTCCCTGAATCTTATAATGAGTTCAAAAGAAAGTATTATATGATGGATCATGACGATAACCTCATTGACCTAACTTACATGCTCATTGCTGCTGAATCAGAAATGATTTGGCGAAGCAATGGAGCGTATTTGTTGGGAAAGTCAACCGACCATGCTTACGAGGACGTTCTAAGAGAAGCGACCTACGTTTGAGAAAGTGCGTTGGATAGAAGTCTGCCCCAAGAGCTTGAAGATTCCAAAGATAGGAGAGTCAAAGAGTATGGTTGTGCTTCAGGTAAAATCCACTATCTAACTCCGTTAAGTTCCTATTCATTGATTCTTAATACATGATGTGATAAAATTGCATTTGAATGTTTTGTAGGATCGGTGAAAAGAAAGGAAGCTTGGTGAAAGAGCAAGATGAATCTAATCATGAGGAATGGATCTTGATCGCATGGACTTGAAGATTAGCTTTTGAGCTTAGATAGTTATGATAGAGT